AAAATTGACCTGGAAAACCAAGGCATATACGAAGTCCCCTGTGCATCATGCCCGGCCACATACATTGGACAGACCAATAGAAGAATAAGCACCCGCCTGGATGAACACAAAAATGCAGTCAAAAAGCTGGAACACACTTCCTCACTAGTCCAACACATGGAAGCCACAGGTCATAGCATCAACTTCAATGGCACCAAAACCCTAGCCACTATAGAAAATTCCAGCCACAGAATCATCAGAGAAGCCATAGAGATTGAAAAAAGACCAGAAAGCATGAACAGAAGAGATGATTCCACCAGGCTGTCAATCATTTGGAAGCCTGCACTCACAAACAAAAAAATCTCCACACCACAAGCCAGGCAAACACCTGGGCACAAACAGATCCCCCCTGTTACCTCCAGCTCAAACACATCCCAACCAGGCACCCAGATGAAACCCAGCTTCCTAACTAATGATAGCCGTCCATTTACCCGAAGCCAAGCTGCACTAAAGACCTCCAATAAAGTAACACAATGCTGCCAGCCAATCAAGATACAAAAAGAGCCAAAAAACAGACAGAAGATATTAGAGACACCAATCAAGCAGAACACAGCAAACTCCGAGACCAATAAACACAGACCAAGACTCTCAACCAATCAGGATGAAGAAAAAACCATTCTGGCACAGCAATAGGCTGCCCCAAATTTAAATCTGAAACCACTGTAAAAGTCTGACTCACAGACGGACACAATACAGAAGCCTGATGATGGCAGATGAGATTCTGCTGAAACGTTGCTACAACTTTAAAAGCACAACTATAATGACGTGGGAAAATACCCGAGCAAAGCTGAAGGCCATACATGTAAGTACCCGCGAAAACTTAAGAAAACATATATATATATATATATATATATATATATATATATATATATATATACACACACACACACACACACATACATACACACACACTCACTCACACACACACACACACACACACACACATATAATGTTTCCCTTCACACCATTTATCTATTTGTAATTAATCAAAATGCCCATTTTCTTTTGAGTTTTCCTTTCTGTTTTCCTGGCATTACACAAAGAAAGCAACTGTCAGCTGTCAAGTCAATAGGAAAAAAGACTAGCACACTTTGTATGTTGCTTGTCACAGAGGAACATTTTTTTTCTCAGAAAGATAGGTGTCATGCAGCTGTTTCTTAAAATAATACATTTGAAATGTTACATTGGACTTATGCCAGAGCTATAAGTTATAAAATAAATAAAACAAAGTAAAATAGATTTGTCCTCAGTTGGTGCATATAATACACAGACTTATTTCACACACACATACCACTTGCATATTCTTAGTTCTTCTTTTATTTATTATATCACAAAACCCACAGCAACCCTCAGATGTTTAGATTACTGTTAAAAGCAAAGCAAAGCAAAGCACAAGAATCTAGAAACACCAAAATCTATAATAGCAATAGCACTTTGACTTATATATTGCTTCACGGTGTTTTACAGTCCTCTCTAAGCAGTTTATAGAGTCAGCATATGCCCCCCAATAATCTGGGTCCTCATTTCATTGACCTCAGAAGGATGGGGGGCTGTGTCAACCTTGAGCTGGTGAGAATCAAACTGCTGGCAGTTGGCAGAATTAGCCTGCAAACTGCATTCTGTACCACCGCGGTGCACTGTACCACCACGGATCAATCATATAATAATATACATCCTGAGGCACCAAACCAAAGTCATGTCCACAATAATTAAGAAGCAATGGGTGGAAACTAATCAAGCAGAGAAGCAATTTAGAACTAAAGAGAAATTTCCTGACAGTTAGAACAATTAATCAGTGGAACAACTTGCCTCCAGAAGATCCCATGCAACTCTGTTATTCTATTCTAGTCTAGTCTAGTCTAGTCTAGTCTATTTTATTCTAGTCTAGTCTAGTCTAGTCTAGTCTAGTCTATATACAATACTGGGTTTTAACTGTTGTGGCAGTACAAATAGGAAATTTCTAGACATTTGATGGCAATGGGGGAAAATGTGTTTCGTGTGTCTGGTTTTCTTTTAGACTTAAAAAATGGGGTGGGGGATGGAATATATACAATTTAAGGTCTATATAAAATATTTTATGTAAAACTTAGGTTATTCCTGAATCCATGAGCTCAAAATCCATAGCACTTTCATCTTACTAAAATTCATTCTCAGTGTATTGGTACTTGCCCAGTCAACATTATTTTTCACTCTTATTTCTGTTTATATTGTTATCCATCCTGTAAAACATCAGATCCCTATGGTAAGAAGTATACTTAACCCAGGGGAAAATCAAACAAAAGAATGAAGGTTAAACTAAATGAGAAAATAATATGTGGATATTTCAATTGTTGTTGCTCCTAATTACATATTTAATTATAGTAGGTGGGGGCAAGGAACTATTGGTCCCAAAGTATTGCTGGAATGTAATTCCTAGCAGCTTCATCCAGGAAGACCAAAGTTGAAAGATCTATGGCACTGTAATATGCTTATTTAATTGTGATTGATTAGATGCCATCAATTTGATGTTAACTCTAGGGATAACATAAATAGACTTTCACAAGAATGATCTGGTGAACCCAATCTGGCCTTTCAGCTCCTCTAATGAGAAGCTAATGGAACAGTCCAAAAGAAATCAACTTTGAGCAGCAAGTTCAGATCCAGAATACAGATTTTTTTTTTTAAAAAAAAGAATTTTAAAAACTGTAGCACATAATTGCTCTCAGGTAAACTGTCAACAATCACTGTAAAAACTTTTCTCAAGGAGAGACTGGTTGGTGTCAGTTCCAACTGTGTCAGGGCTGTTTTGATTTTGAAACAAAACCACATAGAAGCTTGAAATATTTTTCCCTAAAATGTTTTAATATGTAATGGATACAGTGAAAAAGAAACAGATAGATAAATGTGGGTAAGTCCCCCAGTTCTATTCTTGGTTGACATTTAAAAGCAAATACACCAAAAGCATTACATTTTAGTAAAATTGGGAAATTTTAAGAGAGAAGCTGTATTAGGCAACAATGTATGTACAGACACTCAGTATTCACCTGGTCATACTATTTAAAAGTAAACTTAAACTAAACTTCATAGATTCTATAGAGAACATGCAGTATGGAGTTGGAGATTATTATTCCCATTTGCTGGAAAGCAGGCCATACTTGCCATAATGTAAGAGAGTTGCTGATTTGATTTTGACAGGTAAGAGTCACCAGTGAGATATTAAAGCAGAGCTATCAAACTCCTGGCCCATGGGCCAGATGTGTCACACACTGACCCATTCTCAGTTTAGCAAAGGGGGAAAACGTCCAAATACACCACGTGATGCCGCCATGACAAAATGAGTTTGACACCCCTATATTAAAACATGGAGATGTAGGTGACGTGTTCCCTATGCAATCCTCCTCAGCTTTCTTCTTCTTCTTCTTCTTCTTCTTCTTCTTCTTCTTCTTCTTCTTCTTCTTCTTCTTCTTCTTCTTCTTCTTCTTCTTCCTCCTCCTCCTCCTCCTCCTCCTCCTCTTCCTCTTCCTCTTCCTCCTCCTCTTCTTCTTCTGCTTCTTCTTCTGCTTTTGTTTCTTCTGTTTCTTCTGCTTCTGCTCCTCCTCCTCCTCCTCCTCCTCCTTCTCCTCCTCCTCCTCCTCCTCCTCCTCCTCCTCCTCCTCCTTTAATTTACAGATGTTTTACAGAACATTGTCCCTTTAGTAGTAAGACATAACAAATCTAAATAGGAGTCTAATCAGCATATGTGAATGAAAAGAGATAACATCAGTTCTTAGGCATGGAAATACCTGGCTGGCACATTTCTTTACAATTCTCCAAAGTCACAGATAGCTAGAAATAAATGTTGATTTCATTGAAACTTACTAGCAAATAAACCTAGGTTGAAGTCTTATGCATGTCTTATTATGAAGTCTTATGCATATCTATTTGCCATCTAAACATTCATGTAATGATACTTGATATTGAAAGGCCTTATCCTTTTCTAATGTATGACAAGATACAAAGTACCAGCACTATATTCCAAAATAACAAAGGTGGAAGGACGAGAAGCAAATAAAACTGTGCACAGTGTTTCATGCATTAAACACTTAGATTGGAATGTTAAGCTGTCTTTTGCATAGTAATGATAAGAGGGCTATAGATGACTTCCAAATATCTTTTTTGCTCTCAGTTTACTCCTCTAAATTGCTAACAATAGCACAACAAAGTGATTTTGTTAGAGCTGTCTTATATGTTCCACTCATTATCTTGAAGACCTGAGATTGATATACAAATTACCTCCCACATGATGACAAGTTCAGATCGGCTTCCTCCACCTCCTCTCACATTTGTGGGTGCCACTGTGGGAACTAACACAGAGAGAAAAACAAACACACACACATAATAAGCATTTATATGCACAGGCATTTATATAATCTTGAAATTTAAAGTCACATATTGGTTTACATTACCATATATAGCTATGGGAAAAGAATAATAAAATATGGAATACTTTCTGGGCCCAATATGTTCTTATTTGAACTAACCATGACTTATCTACAAATAAAATGGAGAAATTGTCCATTGAGACTGAGAAGGGGATTATGCTCGTAATCTAATTCCATGGAGATTTGCAGTTTGGTATTGGCACAATGTTGGCATAGCTGTTCCTAGAAAATACAGCCAACTGTCACTGTGATATAACTGATTTCTCTGTCATAGTTCATCTCAGTGAAATCAATCTGAAGCAATAGACATTCATAAGTGACTTCTGTATCCTTTATAGGTAGTTCTCGATTTATGACAATTGGGACCAGAGATTCCATGGTAAGGAGATTAAGTGAGTGTGTACAGTTTCATTATCTTTTTTTTTTTTTTGCTATGGTTGTTAAGTGGATCATTTCAATTAAGTGAATCAAGCCAATTTGGCTTTCCCTGTTGACTTTGCTTGTCAGAAGCCAGCTGGGAAGATTGTCAATGGTGATCATCAAATGAGGCTGCAACGTGCCAGTCGCCAATTTTCATTGTACAACATTGGGGATCCTGCAATAGTCACAAATATGAGGGCTGGTTGTAGACACTTTTTCATTGCTGTTGTAAACTTCAAACAGTTGCTAAATGAATGATTGTAAGTCAAGTACTCCTTATACCCATTTACTTGAACATGTGTCATTTATTTTTCTGTAGATTACCACTATTGCTGCAAAATTATCCACATCATGAGCAACTGGATATCCTATAGTTATTTTATTACTATACATTACTATTACTATTCAATAGATATAGTATATAATATGTACAATATATATTGTTATACAGGCCTCAATATATCTCAACTTTCAATATAGGATAGCCAAGAAATGTAGCCCTTTCATTTTTGACAAATTTGTTATTTCTTTTTCTGTGGGGTAGTCTGTATTCATAAAAATAAGTATATATCTTATTTTTGGATGGAAAATGTCAAGCAATTTTGCTGTGAAAAGTGAATGGGATGATTAACTAAAATGAAGAATTAAAATAAGACTTTTAAGCCAAGTATAGCTAACATTCCACTGTCCAACAAATTAGTTCATGCTCAATTAGGCTTGTGTTAAATAAGTAAATATTTACTGTATTTGCATGGGAAAGAAATTAATACCACTGCTCAACAAAGCCTCAACTGGGTCATAGCTGAGAATCAGATGAAAATTTTCAGATAACTGCACAATTAATTCTTTCTTCCATTTTAATAAAATGGGTAATAATTCATTTGCTTGTAGAAAAAATATCAATTCATGATCAGGTTTCATTTGGTAATGTATACCACAGACATTCCATTTTCCCTTTTATTACCATTTGTTACACCTGTTTTTCTGAAGATGACATTAATTAGCAATGTCACTGTTTAGAAAAGAGCTGCAAAACACAATTGCTTCCCTATTGTTTTTGGAACAGTTTATATTGGTGGGTAAGGTTTTTCCCAATCTCAGGTCCTGCGCAGTAAATGGTATTTAATTTCGTTCTACGAGGTGCAATGATGATAAAGTAAAGTAAAGTAAACTAAATGAAAGGTGCTATTTTATTTCATTATCTTTCATACAGGTAGTCTTTGACTCATCACTGTAATGGAGCCTGGCCATTGTCTTCCGCTCTGTGCTTCTCAGAGTGATGTGAGCTAGTGGGGGTGTGACTTGATTGGGTGGGGGCTTGGCTGTGTTCTGATTGGGTGGGGGTGTGTTCTCATTGGTTGGGGGTTTGGCTGTGTTCTGATTGGTTGGGGGGTTGGCCGTGTTCTGATTGGCTGGAGGTGTGTTCTGTTCAGGTGGGGGCTTGGTTGTGCTCAGGTTAGTCTTAGTTGCTGGGGGATTTGAGCTGGTGAGCTGTGATCTTGCTGTTTGGCTTCGAGTTCATGGTCCTGCTGCATCTTCATGGTGGGGTCAGTTCGCTTCATGTATGGCTTAGAGGGGTTTGAAGTGGGTAGTGATGCAGCTGGAGTGCAGCTTCTGGTCCGTGGTTGAATCTCATCTTCTGTGTGGGTGTGAGTCTGCTTTTTACGTGGAAGTGTGGTGGTGGAATCTTGTGTGGCCCTCGTGGGTGTGGGTCTGGTGTCATTCTTCATGTCATTCTATATATATACTATATATATATATAGTATTCAGCTTTGTTCGGGTATTTTCCCACGTCATTATAGTTGTGCTTTTAAAGTTGTAGCAACGTTTTGGCAGAATCTCATCTGCCATCATCAGACAAAATCAAGACAAAATCAAGCCAATCAAGACAAAAAAAGCTACAAAACAGACAGAAGATATTAGAAACACCAATCAAGCAGAACACAGCAAATTCCAAGACCAATATACACAGACTAAGACTCCCAACCAATCAGGATGAAGAAAAAAACATTCTGGCACAGCAGTAGGCTAGCCCCAAACTTAAAACAGAAATGGCTGTGAAAGTCTGACTCACAGACGAACACTATACAGAAGCCTGATGATGGCAGATGAGATTCTGCCGAAACGTTGCTACAACTTTAAAAGCACAACTATAATGATGTGGGAAAATACCCAAACAAAGCTGAATACCATACATGTAAGTACCCGTGAAAACTTAAGAAAACAAATATATACTCGTGACCTACTTGTGAGCTTCGATTTCATATCCCTCTTCATCCAAGTACCTATTAAAGAAGCCTTGACAGCCATCCAAAACAAATACAACCCCCCTAAGCACATCCTAGATCTGACCAACCACTGGCTAACCAACACATACTTCATCCACAGTAGACAAAGATACAAACAGATGGAGCACCTATGGGATCACCCCTCTCACCCATCATTGCTAACCTATACATGGAACACTTTGAAACCAATGCTCTAGACAAATCCGAACACAAACCCAAAGTCTGGCTTAGATATGTAGATGACACTTTCGTAATTTGGCCACACGGGAAAGAAAAACTGGACAACTTTCTCACACACCTCAACAGACTATACCGCAAAATACAATTCATCATGGAAACAGAACCCAACAACCAACTTCCTGGATGTCCTAATTTACAAAAAAACCAATGGCTCCCTAGGACAGCGGTTGCCAACCAGTGGGCCATGAGAAAATTTTGGTGGGCGGCAGAGAAATCTCATCCCCAGAGCACCCCCACAAAGCAATTAATCCAGGCTGCACAGAAACACAAGGCTGCGCCGCTCACATGGCCCGCAGGAACCCCCCCTGCCCACTCACTCCTTACCCAGTAAACTTGCCTGCTAAATTGCTATTTTTCCTTTTTCCGACCATCATCTGTTCTGCTGTGCCGGGAGATTTAGATTAGCAAGGAAGCAGGAAATGGTTGGATTTCTTGCTTTCTAGCTAGCCTTTAGATCTTCAGCTCAGCACAGCCAAACCTCGCTTAGGACTGAAGGTTTGCTTGCAAGCAAATTCAGTGCAGACTCACGGCAAGCAAATTTGAGAGACTGAGCTAGCTGATGGCTGATAACTAGATCACTGAATGATTCTATGAGCAACTCAATCTGCCTGCTTTGCCTGATTTTGAGTAAAAGTTGCTCTTTTAAAAAAAATAAAAAATTCAATATTTACATGCATGGTGTGTTGTGAGCTAATTTTGTGAGTTTGCTTGCCAGCAAATTTTGTGAGTTTGCTTGCCAGCAAATTTTATGGGTTTGCTTGCAAGCAAATTTTATGTGACAGACTGAGCTAGCCAATGGCAGATAGATAGATCTCTGAATGAATCTGTGATTCTGTGAGCAACTCAATCTGCCTGCCTGCTTTGCCTGATTTGGGGTAAAAGTTGCTTTTTTTTTTTAAATAAAAAATTCAATATTGGGGACTTCTGGTTTGTCGGCTTCGCAAGCGGCAGGGATTTGCGATCCTGCGCGATCCCTGCCGCGCTAGCCGCTTTGGTGCCTCCGATCCACGGATCTGGAGGCTAAGGCTGCCACGAAGAGGCAGCCGAAGATAGGAGGGATCTGGACAGGGGGTTGGGGTTTTCGCAGACCCCTTCCCCACCCGGCTTAACCCTCTTTTCTCAAGGCGGTGGAGCAGCGGTCAGCAATGGCCGCCACAAAGAAGCTGACAGCTGGACAAGATTGTGCTGGAGGAAGAAGGAGAAAGTTCTAAAGCGAAAGTTTTTTGGCTGAACTGGGACTATAAGATACAAGTAATATCCTGAAAATCCTGATTTTTTGAAAGATACTTTGTTTCCAGAAGAGATTTACAAGCGGCGAGTGAAAGTGTTTAAAGAGAAAGTTTACTCTCCTTCCACATGGATTTAACAAATGGATATTGAAAATCCTGCTATTTTACAGAAGGTAAAAATTTAAAGCTTTCTGTTATAAGTGGGAAGGGAGAGGACAAAAGGAAATTTTTTATTAAGATTTTGTTGGAGGAGATGCCTGGAAGATTTTGAGATTGGAAGTTAATTGTAATAAGACTTTAAAATACAGATTGGGTTTTTTTTCCCTTGCCACTTGATATCACCCCAGGAAGAAAAAGTGTGAACTTTGTGCTCTGTTTGGATTGTTTGATGACTTTGGGATTTTGGGGAATTGTTTTAAGCTTTGAATTATCTTGGTTAAGAAGAAGAAGAAGAGAAAAAAGAAGAAGAAAAGGTTTATAATGGCTTTATCTGTTGATGAACTGAGAGAGGAATATGGTAAAATAAAAAAAGAAGGTAAAGATGGTGTGAGAGAAATTTTTCGCTTTTTAGAAATGGCGCTTGCCACTTATCAACAAACACAACAATTAATGGAGGATGAAGAAGAAGAAGAAGAAGAAGAAGAAGAAGAAGAAGAAGAAGAAGA